GACGTGGGATCGTTCTGAGAATTATTACTGCCCCAAATGGGAGAGACTGTGCAGTCCTGGGTGACTGAGAACTTGCACCCCCAAGGAGGTGGTGTTCACAGCTGAGAAAATCCTGCTCTTGCTTTTAGTTTTTTGTGAAGCCAGATATTTGAGACAATTTCTGTTTCCAGAGCTTTCTGTTTCAGACCACGTCTGAATGCGTGAGCAGAAGAAAAAAGGTTTCCAAACCAATTTTCTGAAGCGATTTCTAAACACTCTTTCAGGCCTTTCAGACCGCAGTGCCAGATCCTTAGCTAGCATAAAAGGACATGGATCCACAGAGCTGAACAACGTTTGGCTCCTTCGCTAGGAGAAGCACAGAAACACAGAAACATTGGTTGGAAGGGATCTCTGAAGGCCCGAGCTTGTCCAGACTCCCTCTTAACACGGGACTATCACACTAGGTCACGTCAGCCTTGGTGTTGTCTAGCCAAGTATTGAAAACCTCCAAGGATGGAGAGTCCCACTCTCTGGGAGATGTTTTCCCTAATGTCCATTCTCATCTCCCAAGCTCCAGCCTGGGCTTGTTGCCCCTTATTTTTCCATCCACCATGCGCAGGAGGTGTTGGGCTAAACCCAAACAAGCCCTTCTCATAGCCTGTGTGCTCTGTCCCGACCATCTCAGTATCCCTCTCACTGGGCCAGCCCGCACCAAGAGGTCCAGAGTGACATGGTACATCACCAGCAGCCTCCAAGGAATAACAGTTTCTCTCGTCCTGCCAGATTCCTCCCACAGCCTGCCAGGTACTTTGTCCCGTCGGCCACGCCAGCACACCCCAGGCCCAAACAAGGTGTGACCCGTAATTTGTAGCAATGAGAACAGGAGCAGGGGTTTCATTCCCTGCACTGGGGATAGTGCAGTGAGCAAGCGGTTTCAAAATCCAATTTCATAGACGCAGAGATTACGTTAATCTCTTAATAGCTAAACAATTCCATTTTCAAGATAGGACAACGCATGGGATGTTCTTGACAAAACTGGTGCTTCAGAGCTGCCTACATCAGGTTTAAAATCCCAACTCCTAACGATAGAACCGATTGTATCTTTTCAGACAGTAGCACTGCAAAACTTGCATTTAATCTCCTCTTTTTATAACATGCTCTAGCTGCCTGGGCTTGCCTGTTGGGAAGCAAATGTAGATTGACTTTGCCTTCAAACACCATATGAGGAAACTCACTCAGCCCTCACCAACTGATCTTGGGGGCCTGTGGAATGATAAAAGCTCAAGTTATCAAAGTATCTATAAACTGCCTTCTGATTTCTAGCTGGAGCACCTCCCTGAACCTCGACCCTTTGATTTAAGGTGGCTGCTTTCTTTCACCATGTCTCAACAGGCAGAAGAGGGCATAGCTTTAATTCCTGTTGGCTCAGTCGCATTAGCTCAACATGACTGAAAAGCCCTCCTCATGTCCAGAAACGCAGAAGTGAATGTGGATCTACATTGGAAAACCTCTGCCCGTATTACAAGTGCCTTGTAATATACAGGGATGTTTTCATACTGCCAAAAATATTGGTGTTAAAGTACTTTTCTTGTTGATGCTGTTCTGCTTGGAGAACCAAAATTGGCTCTCCTGGGGAAGACGCTATTTATTGGGCTAGACTGCACGTTTTCAGAGAATTTGCAGGTTTTGTGGTCTAGGCATATCCATTTTGGACTGATTTTTAGTGTTTGTGTTGTGATTTAGGGTTCTGACAAATGAGCTCTAGTGAATGATGGTGAGGTGAGTGAAGAGGTGACCCACCCAGCTGTTTATTCCTTCTCTGCTGGCACAGATTGCTATCCCTGCAGCGGAGTTGGCAGAAGACAGCATATGTCCAGGGCAGGGCTGCCGCAAATGGCATTTGAGTTGAAATCTCCAAGGAGATGGGATTAGACTAGATAGAAGACTGGGAACTAGAGATACTGAGATATCGTCCATAATGGTTTATGCCCATCAAGACCAGCACTGCTGCCATGCTTCAGGTCCTTCCAGCTTCTGCCCCATGCTTCTGTCCCCTCTTTGCACCAGAAGTGGCGGTTGTCTGATCCTAATAGGAGACGATTCGGAGACTTCAACCAGCCAAATGATCTCCTCATTCACCTAGAAGGAGTATGGGGGACTGAAACACCACCAGCTTCTATCAGTTTAATCATACCTCTCTCTCAGACAAAGGTACCAGCGTCCTTCGGGTGTCTCAGCTCCACACTAGCCTTTGGTGGCAGAGCGGTGTCAAGCAGCAGCAGGTTATAATGTCTTCATCTGCTCATCTGTTTTCCAACCAAAAGGTCTCCTGAGGCTAGGGGCTCCCTCTGATGCTTCTGTATGGCCAATTAGTAAGGCCTCTGATACCAGGGAGGTTGCCCCTTGCCCTTCAGCTGTACTCTCCACTCCGCCACAGGCGTAGCCCGCTGTGGCAGGTGGCACTGCTGCGAGATGTGGAGCTGCCGTTAGCCGTCGCCTCCTCCCTCTCCTGACTCGGAGGGTGGCTAGCCAGAGGCTGCCCTTGCACCCTGGTGCAGCGGCAAGCAGGAGCCACTGCAGGGGGGATTCGGGACTGGCTGACCTCAGCAATATCGCCAGGCTAAAACGCATGAGAGTTTTTCTCTCCCTGGCTCATTACTAACACGGAAAAAATCGGCGGGAAAAAGACTGGGCCTTAAATACACAACGCATCTTTCCCCACCCATCACCACCTAACCGATAAGCTGCTCCAGGCTATGTTGTTTATGTTTATGAGTGTTTAATACCGCTTAGCATTTGCGTTTGCCTTGAAGCTACAGGCAGCTCTGTGCTGTAGTGTGCTAAATATTTGTGCCATAAGTACAAACAGATGTTTGAAGATCTGCTTTGAAGCAAATCTTTACCCTCTAAATTCTCTCCCAAGACTCCTCGGGAATAGTATACACCACTATATTCAGAGCAAAGCCTTGAAGGGCAGGGAGAGAGGAGATACATAGGAATAGTCAGTAGGGGAACAGGAACACATACTCACATCTCTATCACGTAAATCCTTCACATCAGTACTTTGGGCGTCAGTTTTCATAAATTTGCCGGGCCTCATTCCTATAAAGCAATCTCTGCTGTGTGCAGGTCTTTTAGGCTTGTTTTGACTCACGAGCCAGATTCGCGTCACCCTCAAGAGCTATTGCCTGCAACCTAAATAACCTCCCTACTATCAAAAATCTCAAAATGAACAGGGATAGTAAAACCCGAGCAGCGTGCGTGGATGGCTCTTGCTCATGTGTATTGCTTCTCCTAGCTGATCACAGGGATGAAAAGGCTTTATAAGGCAGACAGAAGTGGCATTAAATAATTTAACTCTCAGAGTCAAAAACTCGATTCAGAGTCAAAACCTGCGAGATACCCCATGATACTGCATGCCACACGCAAAGCAATGGGGAAGGTTAAACAGCCTCTGCCTCAGGCAGCTCCCAATTTCTGTCAAGATGCAACCGAAAACCTGAGAGGGGAAAGGTAAGATGGTAGTGGTGAAACCAGCCAGGATTGTGCGGTGATTGCTGTGTGGGAGGTTGCAGCCAGGACTCTCAAACGACTCAAACCACTGCGGTATGGCTTTGGTTTTCTTTCTTCTTTTCTCACGTTTTGGGGGAGAGGAGGGTGTGTCGGGAAGTTCAGGTGGTACCTTGGGACTTAGATGATCTGTGTCCAGGTTTCTGCCCTGCCAGTGACTCCCTTGGGTAAGATGCTCCCATTCCCTCTGCCTTTTGCCCCTCGTTCTCCAAGGGAAAACAGCGCTTCCATAACCCCAAGGCATATGAGAATAATACTTCAGAGCCTGTGAGGCATTCAGGGATGGTAGGAGAGATTGCCATATCAGGCCCTGAAGAGTTTCACTCTGCATTACCTTTTGACTGTACGCTCTGGACAGCAAAGGGAGTCCATCAGAGCACTCAGGGCATCTGACTTTAAAATGCAAAGCAATGTTTGACCTGATCTACACAGGGAACTAATGTTCTGCTGTAAATCTCTCTAATTCATTCTGCAGAATGCTTTCCCTCCACTCTGCCTCATTTCACCTGTCTCTTGCATTTCTTGCTTAAAACATGAAAACTATTCATATCTATTTTTATATCATTCATTTTCTTTTCCTAGTGACCACTTTTTTTGCCTTGCTTAATTCCACTTAATCTGAAACTGTTCTTACTCCCTTCTTCCTCCTCCTCATCCATGAGCTCAGGCAGGAGCCACCCATCGCTGGGATACTTGCTAGGACCGTGCAGGCGGGTAAATCCTGGGATTTACAGACCCTTTGCAGCAAGAGGTGGCTGGCTAGGGCTGGCCGCAGGGTATATTGCAAGAGGGACGTGCATCCCAGTTCCTGCATCCCGTTTGGTGCCTGGGTGAGGCTGAGATGAGTGGTTATTCCTTCCTTCTGCTGCGTGCTCACCATGTGCGGGAGAGATTGGCGTGTGCTGAGCCAGGAGCTGGGGAACAGCTTGGGTCCTCAACGGGCTTGGCCTCTGAGGAGCACTGCGGTGCAAAACAGGAGCTTGCTGGAGTGATAGCTGGAGAGAGAAAGGGAAAAAAAAAAAAAAAAAAAAGAAAAAGAAAAAAAAAAAAAAAGAGTATAAGATCCTTGTGGATGCAAGCCTTCAAAGGTGCTGTCTTTGCCCTCTCCTTACCTTTTTTCTTTTCCCTACTTGCAAGAAAGGAGATCCAGCGGCTAAGATATTACCACGGGACTCAGGAGACTTAGTTTAGTTGGTTTGCAGAGTTAATTTTCTTTGGTTTAGATCCCTGAAACAGTGTCCTCAGAGTGGAGTCAGCAAAGTGGCAAAGGCAGGAGTGGGAGCACGGGATCAGAGCCAGAGAGGAGCCCGTCCTCATCTGCAGCAAGAAGCTGTTTGACTCAGCTGTAACATGAAATTGCATCTGCCAGCCAGTGGGGCCAGCCGTTTGGTTTTGCCTGTGCTCCTGTGCCCTCTTGTTAAGAGAGAACATTTTTTTTTCTTCCCTTGTAGGGATGAAGCTTGGGATGATGAAAGAGTCTAGTAAGGACTGTAGCAATGATGACAAAAGTGCCTGCCTAGGACCCAGGCAGCTGCTTGCCGTGCCCCTCTTTACCCAACACCCCCCAAAGTGGCCTGAGTGGGAGAAAAGATGCCATTCTGGGGGACAGCTGACTGCCGTGCCTTCCTGGGAGAAACATGCTGCTTCCATCAGTGCTGTAGGTAACAAATCTTGTCAGAGGTGCCAGGCCCTGCAAGTCATTTACAGCAGATTTCCTTGAGGTAGCGATGAAATCCGTGATGTTTTTGTTTGGCATCTGCAACCCTCGTGGAAAGAAAACAGTGTGACTCTTGCCTTGCATTTGCAGCTGAAGCTTTCTCAAGGACAGAAAAGAAGAAGCATCTCTCTTTTTTTTTTTTTTTTTTTTTTTTTTTTGTCTTCTGCAGCTACAAACAGTGTTTTTCTGGCATGAATTGAGAGGCATAGGGCTCTGTGGGAGTGATTCGCTTCTAGGAATTTATTTCACATGGCTTTGAGTGGCTCAGCAAGATAGGATGGGAAAAAAGAAACAGACCCAAACCTCCAAATAACTGAAAAAGAGCCCAGCAAATGAGTCCTCACATCTCCTGCTTCCCCAGCAGAATGAAAACCTTTCCAAGAGACCTGATATATCTACTGCCAACGTTAAGCATTTTGTGGTTTGTTTTTTAAAGAAAAGCCAGGTTACACTACAAAGTGTCACCTGCCCAACTTTAAGTTGAAACGAATAAATAGTCTAGGGTTTGCCTTTAATTTCCTGTCCAGTGCCAGTTTTCCTGGGACTGACATGGGTCATCTGTGAAATGCTCTGAGAAGCTGGGGGCCAGGAAGGCAGCTCCCTGGCCCCATTGCCTCCACGGTGGCTGATGAAACACCGAAGAGCTCTAGCAGCCGACGAGCCTGTATCCCGGCAGGCTGGCTCTCTGTTTCTGCCCCCGCCAGCTGCTCCCAGCGCAGGGTTTCCTGCTCAGTCTCACCTTTCAAGAAGGGACTGTGTCCAGTTCCCTTTCAGAAAAAGCAATTTTTCAAATTGTCCTTGTCTGAAAGAAAATACTGTGTTCAGCAGCAGCGAAGTGCTCTCTGGCGTGTGCTGCGCTGATGTGATGGGGCTTTGCCATGAGCCCAGCAAGTTTTGCTCATTTCTATACTGTGTCGTGGTAAGCCAGCATATACAGCATTTTTCCTTTACCCTAGAACTTCCTCCCAGGACCCTGCCAGTAATTTGACTGTGCTTTGATAAACCATCACGCAGACACGACGTGGAACTGTAGTCCTAATGGCCTGTGTTAATTAAAAATCAAGTGACACTTTCTCAGGAGAAAGATCTTTAGTTCCAGTGTTTTCCTAATTATACCAAGCCAGCCTATTACCAGCCCCATAGTTTCATTTATTGTTCAATATGCCTAAATTCCTGCATGCCATTGCACTGCATTATTTTGTCATGTTCCACCCCATCATTTCAAAGTAGGTTGCCTACTTGTTTAAAACGGCAGCAAAAGCTTTAAAGTCCTGAGGAGAGACAAGCCGTATCTTTACTGGGATGATGTACAGTCTGCCGGTTTGATTTCACTGCCTTATAGCACCAGTTGAGAAACTCTTTGACTTTTTGTCTCTCCTGGCTTCTAAAATAGCAAGAGATAAACAGGAAAAAGAGGAGACACCTTCTGTTTGATATTGTTTGACTCTCAAGTCAGTTCAGCCTCTGATATTAATAACTTCCTGTTTTGTTGTGAGTCTTCTGACAAGTGAAGAGCCTCCATGTGTGTTGGCTTTTCGTCCTGAACTTAAGCAACTAAAGGACTGGTGTGTTCCCAGGCTCTGGGCTACAAATGCCAGTTTTCTGCTTACCTTCAGAACAAAATTTTAGAATTGAAAGCCAAATTGCTGAAAATCAGGTGGCTACGCCCACAATTAGTTGCCAAAATAAAAATGACCTGACTGTCTCAGCGGTTGAACACCTGCAAACCCTGTCAGTATCTTGGGACTTGAGAGGACAGAATCTATACAAATCAGACTAATTATATGTAGGAACTCAAATAAGGATCCTAATTTGAAACTCTGGACTGCTGTTCATTGCTGAGGATGTGCTGAGAAGCTAGAAACAGAAAAGAGGATCTGCAAAAAATGTGGAGAAAGGTGCATTTGTGTAATATCACTTGTGCAAGATGTTTGTGAAATGTGGTGCGTGCTGCATTGCATCATTTTTCACATACACTTAAATTAGTAAGACTCTTTCTTTTCCAGCTATCCAAATAATGTTCCCTGTGAGCTGAACTTCTTCCTCTGGATAATACACCAGTTTGCTACATGCTGGAGAAGCGGGGTGCCCCCGAATGCCTGATGCCTGTGTACTGCCCAGGGCTGCTGCTCTGCGTAACCAGGAACCATCTCTGGATCACCGTGTGTGACAGGACGGCTTGGGCTTGGCAGTTCTATGAGATGTAAAAATCAAGCCAGCTAATCAAGATTTAAACCAACGCCGAACTGAAAAGACTAGCGAGTGGTCCAGCCACGAGTTAATTCATTAGTTGCGGTAAATATTGCTAGAAGAGCTTGTCAAAAGGAAATGTGAAGCAGCTGAAAAGAAACGTCCTTAAAGTGAATGTCAAAGGCTTTTGCAGCTGTCATCCAGTGGAATGGGAGACTCCAGACTTTGGAGAGAAAATGAGAGTAAAAGAAATAAAAATTTGAGTACAGAGGATAAAGTACCAGTTTCCACTGGGTGATTATAAAGGAAGCGATCTTGCCACTGCAGGGACTTAATTAGAGACTGAATCTCACAACTGTCTAATGTCTCCTCCAGTACACTGAGAAACCCAAACCAGCTACAGCGGTCTGTTCAGACCGGCAGCAGCAGGAGGCTCTGCTGCTTCAGGGGCACACTGAAATGCCAGTTTTATGTAGCTGGAGGTCATTTCCAGTGTTCTTGAATCCTGTAGTCTGTTCAGTGGTCACTTAGGACCAGGGGAGCAACTTCATTCTCTTGCCTGGCCAGGACGGCATCATCTTGGTCCTACAGAAGGCAACAACGGAGCTCCCACTGCTGTGTACCCAAGCCTCCTGGAGGAAAGGTACCAGGACCCGTTTTCCTAGGCAAACCTAAGAGTTAATTGTCAACAAGAGAGAATTTCATGTTTCTGTGACGGATGTGATGAATCGCTGCTTTTGTTGGTCTCTGAAATGTGCAGATCAGGTGTGGGTCCTCGGGCCTTCCTGGAGATGCCAGTGCTGTCAGTCAGTGGTTGCGTGCATCGGTTCCCTTAAGCCTTGGTGCAGGGCTCAGCTCTCCTGCCTCGCTCCAGCTATTGCCCGCCTGAGACACTGTCACCCTTCTTTCCCTCCTTTTGGAAATGTGGAAGCACTGGCCGTAGCTTGAGGCTAACCTTTGGCAGCAATGCCCAGCCCTGCCCTGGCTGTTCCCTCTTAACTCTGAGCTGCAGTGCATCACCTCTCCGTCGGTGTGCTGAGCAGAGAACTCCTGAAGTTAGGGTTTTTCTTTGTTTGGTACTTTTTTTTTTTCTAAGCAGCAACAAGTCTTTGCTGGATTTTATTTCAGACTGGTCTGTTCTGGGCCCTGGACCTCAACACTCCCCTCCTGGTGCCGGGAAGGGCTGAACGGGCGGGAGCCATGGTCTGGAGTAAGTGAGCAGCGAGGTCAGCAGGAAGGAATTATTTTAGCTGATATTGCCAGCAAAGTCATTTTTTAAGTAACCCTGTCCCTGCAGAGTGATTCTGTGCAGGCGAGGCTTGAGGAGAGTGCAGGGATCCCTTCCAGTGTCACTACTACTAGCAGCCACGTTTTTCTGTAGCAGGATTTTCCCGGCGTAGGGAGGGCTGTGCCTTCTGCGGCTGCTCGGAGAGCTGAGCGCTCCTGGGAGGAGCGCCGGTGACTGCTCGGGATGGGTAGATGCATTGTGTACTGGGGACAGTGGCTTACCAGTCTCCTCTGGAGCTGGGAAGAGGTAAGTGACCTACCCAGAGAGAGCTCAGCATTGCTAACATCTGACAAGGACATTTTCATAACCAAGATAAATGAACAGATGCCTTTTTGCTCTAGGGAGATAATTTCTTCTGTGCTACTAGCCTGAGACCATTTGCTTGGCTTAGCCTGTATTTTTACCATATGCAACAAGCCTTAACCACTTCATTTAAGGCTGTTATTCATTTGAATATGAAACATTTCTGGCATTTTTTTCCCATTTTTCTGGCCCTTGCATGTTGCTAATGTCTCCACTCCTGTATATATGTTTTCTTCTCTAACATTTCAGTTCTCCTCTCTTGTAATATTTTAAACCCTTAATTGCCTGATGCTGCAGATGGAGAGTATTAGTTACCTTCCGTCACCACGCTGGCCACGATGACTTCCTTTGCTTGACAAGTTGATTACTTTGTCAAGATGAGCATTAAGTCTTTCTGGAGTATCGCTGTGCGTCTTGTGCCAGATTGCAATTGCAAGGTGGTTTCTTATTGGACGTGCAGTTTCTCCAGACACAGAATACCAGGAGTAAAACCAGGATTTTGCGGGGCTTTTTTCAGCACTTCCTTACTGAGATTGATGTTGCTCCAGTTTATACCAATAGGATTTGGATGGCTGTATCTCTAAATGTGACAAACTCGTGCATGGCAAGCAAACCCAACTGATGAAATTCCATTGATAAAGAAAATTCCCATCCTGGCAACCACCCAGCAAAGTCGGCAAGTAGCGATTAGGCGTTAATAATAACTGCACCAAGTCTGCCAAAGCTGCTGGAGATGTGACTAACAGGCACCTCCGTGGAGCCAAAGAATTGTTGCAGTGCCTGCTCCCTGCTGCGCATCCAAAACGGCAGTGTCCTGGGTGAGTGGTGGGGCTCACGGGCTCCCCAGCGTTCCAGTTACGGACAGCAGGGAACAGAAAGGAGCCTTTGCAAAAGCGTTGCAAAAACGGCTTAACACTCTGTAGGCTCATTAAGGTGAGAAAAACTTCCTCTCCACTGTATGGTAGGGCATCGCTGGGGCTGGTGTCTCAGATCTTGCCATCAACATGTTGAGTCCATCGCTCCCCTTCACAGACCCAATGCACAGTGTGGGATCCAGTCGTGGCTCTGCTTGCCAAAGCATCTATACAGGGCACCAAACCTTGCCTCCTTATGCCATGCACATGCTGCCCAGGCCTCCAGAGACTTCCACCTGGTCATATTCTGCATGACCCCTAAAAGAGGGTAGACAGCAGTTGCGGCACAGAAGCTGTAGCAGTAACAGTGCTTTCAGATTGGTCACTGGATATAATTGAGGCAAAAGAGCAAAACCCAAGGAAATTAAACACATTTCATAGCAGTTCCTGAGGGAGAGCAGATCTCATAGCTTGTGAACTGCAAACCAGGTCAAGAGGGCTGGACAGAGAAATTGCTGACATTGGCCCCAAAATGTCATTGTTAAGGTAAGAAAAACATCCAAATATTTCTTAATTTTTCCTAGTTGATACGTTATAAGGAAGTGTCATCCAGACCACTATAGGTATTAAGAATTTGGGAAACAACGCTAAGCAACACAAAGAACAAAAAACAGTGGGTGTATTCTGAGAAGAGAGGGAAATTGAGTCCTGTGCCGCTGAATGCTCCAGGAGAATAAATCCTAATAGCTACAGCAGCCAAATGTCATCTGGGACCAGAGTGTGAACAACTCTTCTGTGATATTATTTAGTGAATGTCTCAACTTCTTGAGCTTGTTGCAGAAGATAAAAGAAAAGCTTGGCCAGCATTATTATCTGATGGTGCAGGAACATTCCTTTCTCTAACCACGTGTGGTAGTATCTGACCCGTCTTGGATATCTGAGCAGGCAGGTCAGAGGAAAGCAGTGTGCAGACTTGGTTTTCAAAGCCACCTATTTCCAGTAAGCATGAACTTCATTTTCTTTTAGGAGCTCAGTTTTCCTGGCATACTGTAACAGAAATAAACAAAAGCATGGTATACTTATATGATGAACCTCAGGACCATCCCGTCTACGGCCAAACCAGCTCTGGGGGGCAGTGTGAGCACTGAGGGCAGATGTTGGGCCGCTCTTGTCCCTGGCAGATGTGGTCCTGGGGTTTCTCTCCTCACAGGATCCCATAGCGAGACCTTAGCAAAGAGCAGAGACAGAGCTTTTCTCGTGTCACACCACACATGACAACGCAAGGTTGCGTTGGAGCACCTCTATATTGACCCACCTCAGATTGGCTTTGTGTAAGAATGGAAGAGCAATGGGTACCCACCTCCTTATTGTTTTGTGGTTTGTTTTTTTTTTCTTTCTTTTGGTGTTTGCGGGAAGGAGGAAAAGCACCTTTTACTGCCTGAGTTTATGACATTCCTGCTCCCCCTGGGTGGAAAGGGGCCTTTTCTCTCTCTCTGCCTATGAGGGAAGCACTGCCTATTGGTGTGAGTGATGGGCAGGACACTCTCTCAGGGCAGACCTTGCTCTCCCCAGGGACCTGCACCCCAGCCACTCCCTGCCCTAGGCTGGGAACCCCTGGCCTGTTCCTTTCTGAGGTCCCCTCTCCCGTACTTTTGAGCCCTGCCACTTTCTGTCTTTGAAAAAGCAGGCTCCCTGGGGGGGTCCAGAAGAGCAGAGGGTCTCCATCGGGGCTATCTCCTTGCAGGGGATGAAGAAGGGGTCTCCACCGGGGGGGGGGGGGGGGGGGTTGCTGCAGGCAGGAGCAGTCATGCGCTTCCCTCTGCAGCTGGCAGCACTCTAATTTTTCCCGTCATTTATTACCTGACAACTGGTTTTGTGTGTTTCCCTCCAGGCTGGGAGCCAGGAGGGCTGGCGCTTGGGACACCTCCTCCTGGTACGCTGCCAAGGACGGTGGCAATGTCCTCCCTCTGAGGGTGGTGGCTCCCCGGCCCCGGGCACTCAGCATCCGTCCCCGCCGCTTGCCCGACCCTCCCTCCCCTCGAGACCTACTTTTGCTGGGAGAGGCAAGGTAACCTCGCCACTGAAAATAGCTGGGACGGCAGCCAGCGGAGATTAATGGCATCATTAACGTCCCCAGTTTATTTATAGGCTTAAAAAAGCCTCGGACCTGCAAACTGAGCAGAATTGCTCTGTGTAACGCAGGGACTCCCCGGTCCCCTACTTCTGCCTTTCCCCTTCCTGCTATTTCATCCTCGTCTCTGCGACTGTAAAACCTCTGGAGCAGGGACTGTCTCTCATTGTAAACCTTCCTTACTAGGGGGATACACACGGATATATTTTTTCCATGAACGCTGTATTTGTCTGGTCTCCTTCCTCCACCCAATTCTTTCTGCGTTCACTGTGTCCTGTGGCCCCCTCTTCGGGAAAATTCTCTTTTTCATGAATTCCTGAGGCATAGGCTGAGCAGTCGTCACAGGAATTAGTGATTTTCCGCCTTGGGTTTTAAACTGTGAGCTCTGTGGGAGAGCACCTAGGACGTGTGGGGTGCTAGTGAAACATGCAGATGTAATTAATGACCATGGAGGTCTTCCTACGGGAGCCAGCCGAGCCAGCCCAGCTCCCAGGTCCTCCAGGAACCTCGTGGGACTGGCAGGGAAAGAAAAACCACCCCGAGTGTGTTGGCCCCAGAAGAGGAGTTTTCAGCACGTGACCTGCGGCCGCACTGCCTGGCCTCTTTCCCAGCACTCGGTGAAAGGTAAGTGAGAAAAGAAGCTTGTTGTCAGCAGGCACAAATCCAAGGAATTGGCTGTGTGACTGGGAGATGGCTCCACGGGTGGGAGAAAAAAAGCAAAAATATCAGGAGAGAGCTCTCCCGCCCAGAAACATGGATAACCAGCGTGGCACCTCATGGAAGTGAGGTTGCTTCAGAGGGCAACCACCCTTCACTTTGTGTTGTTTTTTTTTTTTGTTCTGTCAATCTGAGATAAACTCCTGTGTCAGTCTTTCTTTGGACCTCTGTCTTCTAGGCTCTGAAATAAATGCCAGAGAACTGCTCAAACCGCTGCTGTCTTTCTTTTCTTTTTTTTTTTTTTTTTCATCTGGGCAACAAGAATCCTTCAGGGCAGAGTAAAGGAGCCCAAAATGCTAGGAGGGTTTCTCTGCCGTGGCCGCTCTAGGTGAAACCACAACCCTGGGACCCCTTTGACCCCCAACATCTGGTGGGTTGGAGGCATCTCAGTGCTTTCCTTTCCCGTTCTTCTCTATCCCACTTGAGTTCTCCAGGTCCCTTCCATCCCCTCCTGGCCAGGACCCAGCTCTCTGCTGTGATGGGGAGGACAGTGCCTGCTCAGCACCTCACTTTCCGTGTCTGTTAAATGGGACTGTGACACTTAACCGGCTTTATATAATCCTTTGAAGGACAAAAGCCTAAGTGCAATTATTCAGTCATCCAAAGATCATAACCGGGAGAGTATTTATTTCCATGTCTGTTATATGTGAGATCCTGTATAATTTAGAAGACTTCAAGGAAAAAGCAGGTCATGTGCAGCATCTGAGAAAAAGGTGGAAAAAGGCAATGTTTTAACTATATTCATCCTAGGAAAGAGACACCTGTTATGTAGTTGTCTCTTATCTAAATTCCTGAACATCTAACCAGAAAAATCAGCACAAATTTCTCTCTAGACTGATGCCAGACTAGAGGAGTGAGTCTTGTGGCAAAAGGGGCCATCTACATCTCAAACTGATTGCCTGCTTTGAAAAGTGAACATAAAAGGTGAAAGATTTTATTTTATTTTATTTTTTTTTTTAACAAGACAACTAAACCACATTTTGGCTGCAGAACAGCTATCTCCTGGACCTCAGTGCTGCACAGCTTCTTTGGAATTACTCACCCCTTGATACAGAAAGCAAGAGCAGGGATTTTTTTTTTTTTTTTTTCCTGTTTCACTAGGCTACACCCAGTTGTAACCATATTTAACCTTCCTTTTTCTAGCTGCCAACACTGGGTGGCACTAAGTAACTCCTTCTGACATTTTACAAAATTGACTCTAAAAACTTGAATCACACTGACTTGGCTCCACTCTGTCCTGACAGCAAATGGTTTTATTTGAGAAACTTCTGATCATATGGTTGTTGCAGTAGAAACATCTGGCTGGCATGGCACGTTTTGTACTTCCTTGGCTTGTTGCGTTGTTAAAGCTCTCCTGGAACTCCGACCCCACAGGTTTAGTAAAGGTTAAATGTGCTGTTGGGCTTGAAGTCCAAATTTCCTGTACTGAGGTGAGAACTGATGGAATACTTGAAAATAACTGTGCTTTACGCTGGAGATTTAAATGAATCTCACGGAATCACAGCATGGTTGAGGTTGGAAGGGACCTCTGGAGATCACCTCGGCCAAGCCCCTGCTCAAGCAGGGTCAGCCAAAGCAGGCTGACCGGGGTTGAGTCTAGGGAGGTTTTGATTACTGCCAAGGAAGGAAGACTTCACAACCTCTCTGGGCAACCTTTTCTGCTGATCAGCCACCCTCACAGTAAAAAAGTATTTCAGCTTGTGCTCATTGTCTTTTGTCATGTCACTGGGCACCACTGAGAAGACCCTAGCTCCATCTTTTTTACTCTCTCCCCAAATCAGGTATTTAAACACACTGTTAATATCCTCCCCGGGCCTTCCTTTCCCAGGGGTCAACAACCCCAGTTCTCTGAGCTTTTCCTCATGTCAGTTGCCCCAGGCATTTAATCGCTGAGGGACTCACTCCAGTATGTCCAGGTGTCTGTTGTACTGGTGAGCTCAGACCTGGACACAGCACCCCAGATGCATCTCACTAGTGATGAGCAGATGGGAGGGATAACCTCCCTTGACCTGCTAGTGACACTCTTCCTAATGCAGCCGAGGAGGCTGCTGGCCAGCTTTACAAGGACATATTGTTGGCTCATGGCCAGCTTGTCCATCAGGAGCCCCAGGTCATCTCTGCAAAGCTGCTTGTCAGCCCAGTCAGCTCCCAGTGTGGACCCGTGCATGAGTTTATTCCTTCTGAGGGGCAGGACTTTTCCCTTCATTGAACTTGATGAGATTGCTGTCATCCCATTTCTACAGCCAGCTGAGGTCCCCCTGAACGGTGGCACAAGCAACTGGTGCATCAACACCCCCCCCCCCCCACTTCCTTCCTCCTCTGCAAACTTGCTACGGTTGCAGTCTGTCTCATTATCCAGGTCATTAATGAGGATGTTAAACAGTATTGGACCCATTGTTGACTCTGGGGTTGTCCTCTAGTGCCTGGCCTCCAGCTGGACTTCATGCCACTCATCACCACCCTTTGAGCCTGACAATTCAGCCAGTTTTCCATCCACCTCACTTTCCACATATCTAGCCCATACTTCATCATTTTCCTTATGCAGATGTCAGGGGAGATAGTGTCAAAAGCCTTGCTAAAGTTGAAATAAACAACATCCACTGCTGTTCCCTCGTCCACTAAGCCAGTCATCTCATCATAGAAGGCTATGTAATTGGTTAAGCATGGATTTCCCTGCATAAAAACATGATGACATCTCCCACTCACCTTCTTGACTTCACTACCTGAGACTTCTGCATGTCCTGCATGACCAGATTCCCTCTTCCCCATCCAGCAGCAGGCCCACATTTTCTAGCTATAGAAGACCCTTCATGTCCCTCACCAGATTCAACTCCAAGTGGGCTTTGGCTATCCTCACCCCATCCCTGCACATTCCAACAGTGTCTTTATATTATTCCTAGGGTTACTTGACTCTGTTTCCACCCTTGTGTGGTTTTGTGTGGTTGAGTTTTGCCAGGACCTCCTTGTTCATCCATGCAGGCCTCCTGCCACCTTTGTTCAATGTCCTGAATCAAGGCATAGACCGTACCTGACCTTGTAGAAGGGGATCCCTGAACATCAACCAACATCCCTGGACCTTTCTTCTTTCCAGGAATTTATCTCCTGGGATTCTTAGAAGCAACAATCAGAAGAGGTTAGAGTCTGGTCTCCTGAAATCCAGGGCTGTGGTCCTGCTCTTTGCCATGCTCCCTCCTCTCAGGATCCCGAACTCCACAGTCTCATGGTCACTGCAGCCAAGGCCACCTCAGCCTTCACATTCCTGACCATTTCTTCCTTGTTTGTGATTCTGAGGTCCAGCAGATTGTCTCCTCTTGTTGTCTCTTCAATCACCTCCAACAGCAAGTTATCATCAACGTACTCCAGAGACCTCCTGGATTGCTTGTGCCTTGGTGTGTTGCCCTTCCAGCAGATATTGGGGTGGCTGAAGTCACTGATATCCTCCTTGGCCTGCAAACATCAGGCTTCCGCCACCCGCCTCAAGAAGGCCTCAACTACTTCTTCCTGATCAGGGGGTCCACAGCAGACTTCCACAACAATGTCACCCATGTTTGTCTGCCCACTTATCCTGGCCCATAAACTCTCAGCTGGCTCCTCATCCATCCAAGACAGAACTCTATGCATTCCCACTGTTCCCTCAAACCAAGAGAATCCCCCTCTTTTTCTTCCCAGCCTATCCTTCTTGTAGAGCCTGTATCCATCCCTTGCAGCATCCACAGCAGTGAGCTATTCCACCACAACTCATGGTTGCAATGAGATTGTAACCATGCAGTGGCACACGGATCTCTAATTTCTCCTGTTTGTTTCCCATGCCATGTGCGTTAGTGTACAGGCACTTCAGAGAGGCACCCAGTCATGCTGATTTCCCAGAAGAGGTATGAGAGCTTCCACCATAAAGTTCTCTGATAGGTACTTCCTCATCTATATGCATACTCTTGTGGTTTGACCCCTTCAGCCCTGTTTTGTTGACTGTGATGTGTCTCCTGTCCACATCACACTGAATCCTTTCCTTGCCAACTTGGTCCAGCTCTTCCTTACTTGATGGTGGGTTGCCAATTCCCTCCCCCGTTGTTCCTATGTTGAAGTTATTTCCCGGCAGGTTGTCCAGCCTGCTGGCCCACTTTTATCCCATTTGGTGAGGTGGTTCTCATCCCTTCCCAGCAGTCCTCAATCCTCAAAGAGGGTCCCACAGTCATAAAAATCAAATCCTTGTTGTCAACAGTAGCTGCACAACCAGTAGTTGCACCACAGGATCCATCGACTCCTCCTGAAGCCCTTCCCCATCAACAGCAGGACTGAGGAGGAAAACAGCAGGAACCTCACACCCTTGGCCCTCACCCCCAGAGAAACGTAGCCATGCTTGATGCGATCCCAGTCTCCCGTGGCCACTTCATTGGTGGCCTCGTGGAAAAGCAGAACCAGAGCCCCAGCAAGCAGCAAAAATCCTTAGATGCTGGGCTGTGTCAGCTGAGTCTCTCCCACTGCTGCCACTCGCCACCTCCTCCCAGTGCTGCTGGGGGTCTGGGGCAGCTGAGCATTTCCCTGACCCTGGCGAGAGGTTCACAGTGTCCCTCAGCCCCAACTTTGTGGCACTGCACCCTCCTTCAGGAATCCAACCTGGGCCGAGGCCGCTGGCACCACAGGAGCTCACCAAACCCCATTGGAGGCTGCAGCATCCCCAACCACAGCAGCGTTCAGGTGTCCCCAAAGGGTTCTGAGAGCCCCCCGCCATCCCCAGAGGCTTCTTGGAGATCTTGAAGCGGAGCCTGGATACTGTCGTGTCTGCTGGCCGCCGCTGCCAGCGGCGTGCTGTGAAATTCCACTTGCATCAGCTTTAAAAGGAACACAACTGGGAACGCATGGCTTTCACACCCTGCAGGCAGTGCTAGCCCTACAAGTGCCAAGGCCACCGCTTTAATGGCCTGTAATGGCTCCGGTGGGCTTTGCGAGACCTCCTGACTGATGCTGGTGTGTACAGAGATGGAGGCGGCAAAAAATCAGGGCCAAGTAGCACGTCCTTAGAGGACGTGTGGCCATTCTCAGCTAAGCCATCCATGGAAGCCCATTGCTGTGTCCTGATATCAAAAATTATCATTACCATGTTTATACCTGTCCCTAAGAAGGCATTTAAAATATCACAGACAATAAATAGTATAACCTGGTGGGATCATAAAGATCTATGTCCTGAAAGGAAAGACATAGAAACACCGATG